AGCTAATGATTTGGAAGGTGACCACTGGCCCAGAATGGCTCGGGAAGGCAGTGGCCAAGCCTAAGTGGCCGAGATAGCTCCTCACTTTGGACCCACAGCTTGAGAATGAAGTTGAAGGCCAAAGTTGTTGACATCACCATTATTATTTTTGGTGCCGGCAACTGAGCTCCCATCTTGGAGCTTGCTAGGCAAGTGCCCTATCACAAAGCCGAAGTTCCAGCCTCACCTCCTCCATTATAATCAAAGAACTCAAGCCTCCATACTGCAGCCAACGGAGACTGAGAAAACACAGACTTCATTAGCCACGCTCTGAGGTTGTTGACGGATAACATGAACCCTAACCGAAATAGTGCTATCGGTATGAAGAGAGGAAGAACTTGGTACCATCTGAACAAAAATCACAAGGTAGCAAGGGAATGTGACATGTGGATGTCTGGAGCAAGAACATTTATGCTAAGAGGACGGCCAAGACTGTGTCCCCGAGGCAGAAGTGTACGTGGCTTTCCTGGAGGAGGGCATAGAGGTTGGAGCACACTGCAGTCGGAGGCAGGGAGTCAGTAAGCAAGTCTCAACTTAGGAATGAACGGTGCTGCTCTATATAATGATAACCACTTTGAAGTATTAATTTTTGTCCTAGGAATGCTGTATATTAACTGATAACACATTACCTGGCACTCAGAACAGTTTGTTGGTAACTGTTTAGTTCAGCAAAACTAATAAAAATGATAAAAAATACTTTAATAGAAATGTAAGATTACACTATTGTGCCCACTTAGATAGATGATGGTGACTGATGGACAGAAATCAAGGGCCATGGGGCTGCAGATATGACAAGTAAGAACCGTGTTCCTGGTTTGATCCCCAACACCACATAAACCAGGCATCGTGGTATAGGTCTACAGGTCTATGGTCTAAGCACTTAGGAGGTGGAAGCAGGAGGATCAAAAGTTCAAGGTCATCCTCATTTACACAGTAAGCTTGAGTCCAGCCTGAGCTACCTGAGACCTCAACTCAAAGACAAATCAAATAACAAAAAACCCCAGAACAATGACGGTATCAGCTGTTTAAAAGTATTTCCTAACAGTGACTTGAGGCACCTATTTCCCAACTTTCTTAAATGTACCGCTAACAACGCTGTTCATATAGCACTTATATTCTTACTGAACCCCATGTAACAAAGGATATGGACGCAGAGAAATTCTGGTACTTTCTAGGAAGGCAAATGTTAATAAAATGCTTAAATATGTGCACTCAGGGGGGTGAAGGTTATTGATACCAGTCCCGATGACCTAAATTCAATGCCTGGAGTCCCCATGGTGAGAAGAGAGCAGACTCCCAATAGTTATCCTGTGACCCCCATGTGCGCGCGCGCACGTGTACACACACACACACACACCCCACACACCTGTACCAATTCCTTTCCCAGATTCATCACCTGTGAGTTGGAGTTTGGGGGCCCATTTAGTTTAATGAGGGCCAACTGTGTGACAGGTAGATCGGGACTATGCAGCTGCTGGAGACTGGCGCAGTAAGGAGTGAGGACACAACCGGAAGTCACTGACTTCTCCCTCCCTGGATCTGCCAGCAGCGAAGAGTTCAGCAGTGAAGGCAGTGAGCACGCTGCAGGTGCACAAGCCTAAGCCAGATAAAGAGGAATCCTATTGTGTTAGGCATCCCCCCCCCCCACTCATTACTGTAACAAAATGCCCGACAAAAGCAGCTTAAGGAAGGAAGGGTTTATTTTGGTTTACAGTTTGAAGCAATACATACAGGCTGTCACAGTGGGGGATGTCATGGCAGCAAGGCTCACAGTCAGGAAGCAGAGAGAGATGAATTTTGGTGTTCCACTCTGTCCTTTCTAATCTGTCTGTGACCCCAACTCATGGAATGCTGCCACCCACATTTAGGGTAGCCCTTCCCTCTTCAGTTAAACTTCTTGGGAAGCACCTTCATAGAGACATATCCACAGGTGTGTTTCCAGGATGATTCTGAATCCAACCAAGTTGACCATCAAGATTAACCATCGCTAATCTACCCCTGGCCAACCTGATCCCCCAAAACACATCACTACATCATAGCATTCCGCCTCTGGCCGCTAATATCTCATTTTCATCGCACGATTCTAAAGCTGCCCAGTCTTTTAACAATTTGAACAGTGTTAAACAGTCCAAAGTCTCATCTGAGACTCAAGGCAATCTCTTATTTGTAAACTTCTAGAAAATCAACAACTTACAACATTTCAATATACACTGGCAATGAATAACCATCCCCATTCCCCAACGGAAGAATCAAGAGTGCAACAAGGGAAGAGGAGACCAAAGAAAAGAGCAACAGCCAGCAAGGCAAACACCAAATCCTGCAGCCACATGCCCGGCATCTGGAGCTCATAATGGAATCATATGGGCCTCAAAGGGCTTTGGGGGTCCCAGGTATCCAGCTCTGTCTTCGCTCGCTCCTCTCCATGCTCGCAGCTTCTCTCCGGTGATGACCCACAGTTCTGGCACCTCCACCATCTGGGCTCCACACTGAAGCTTAGCTTTCACTTTCACATCTTCACATAATGGCTTCTCGGGGCTCACCACTGTGACTCCAACCCTGCTCCATATCACCTGCTCTTCCGGGAACTCTAGTGCACATCTCCACGACGCTCTCAGTCATGCATCTTTCACAGCTGTCTGCCACGACCATGTGGGTGACATTTTGCAAAATTCTGCTGTGCTGGCTTTCATAGACTACAGGTCTATTGATGTTTGTGTGCGGGCCACGGGGAAAGGTTCCCTGGGTGACTGCTTTCTACAAGTAGGAGACTCCTTCAGCAATATTCTCAGCTTAGGTTTTCTCCTTTCAAATGAATTCTCATTTTCACAAAAGGGAGTGTTTACTAGGTGGGGTTTTGCTTTCAGAAAACCATCAGTAATGTCTAATACAGAGCACAAGGCTTCTCATTAATGCTGCTAATCTCTTTTAACAATTCCAGTTGCTTTCTCTGCATCTGCCTTGCCTGCACCTTTCCACTCATTTCTTTCCCCACCAAGTGGACACGTCTGTCTTCTGTCTGTCTTCCATTGCCCCATTTGTGCTTTCCCTCACTGGAGACCTGGATGACACAGTAGTCAGCAAACATGACACAGTCCGAAGGAAACCGAGCCTCAGATTTCTTCCGCCAAGCAAACGACTCCATTAATTTTGACACTAGTCTCACTTGAGTTCCCAGGACATAGCCCTGATGACATAGATTGATACCAGATTCTGTCAGATTTTCACACAAATGGCCGGTAGCTCAATTCTCAATAGTCCCCTTTCCTCTCCAAAACTCCACGAGCCAGATCGCCACTGTCCGCTCTTGTCTCGGCATCTGAGTTTTCAAAACGCCACCAGAACTGCCCATTCAATTCTGCTTACAGCATTCCAAGACTTCTCTGGCTCAAAGTTCCAAACTCTGAACTTTTAAACCCGTTCCAAATGCCCATGACCCACATGGTCAGGCTTAACACAGCAGCCCCACTTCTCAGTCCCAATGTTCTGTTTCAGCTCCTTTTGTGCTTGCTGCGACAAAGTCCCTGAGAAAAGGGTTTACTTTGGCTCACAGCTTGATGGTTCAGTCCATTATGGCAGAGAAGCCGCGGCAGCAGGAACATGAAGCCACTGGCAATACATATGCATTACACATGCAGTCAGGAAAAAGAAAGAAATGAACGCTGGGATCTCACTTACTTTCTCCTTTTTACTGCATCACAGACCCTAGTCCATTGCATGGTGCTGATCGTGAGCAAGATGGGTCTTTCCTCTTTAGTACAAACTTTGCTGAATCGGTACCATAGACACACCAAAAGTATGCTTCCACAGTGATTCTAAATCCATCACATTGACAATTAAGATTAACAATCTTACCTACCAGGACCTTGAAGGCTATTCCAATCAGTCCCCACAAACCTGAATCTGCACTAGCAACTAAATGCAGAAAGGAAGAGGTCTACACGCAGGCCACCTGGGAGGTAATAAATCTTAGCAGTCAGTGACGCACAAGGCACTTTAAAGAAACCATTTGTAGTTAAAAGTCCTTGAAGCTCCTATTGTTCATGACCGATGACCTTTGGAAAATAAAGTCAACTGAACTAAGCCATAAGAAAAGACAAGTGCTATGTTCAATGCTTTCATGACATCGGTATCCTTTCCAGTCACTAAAAGTGCTCTAAAGCATAGAGAGGAAAGGCTTGCGCAGTAAAATGAAGATGGAAAGGGTGACTGCAGAGCATGGCAGCTGGTAAACTTGGGAGAAAGATAAACGTGTGTTGGGCCCACCAGGGCCCACAGAACAGCCACACAGCATAGAGTCACAGCGACTTCTCATAACCACCAACAGTCACGATGCATAGAGAGGCCAAAGCAAAAAAGCGAGGGGCAAAAGGGTACAAAGAGAAAACAAGGGAAACAGTTGTGAGTGAGGGTTACCCCCACTGCTTCCCTGCAGTAAAAAGAACAGGGAAGGCCAGAGCAAAGTTTCTCTTGCTTCTTTCAAACAAAACTGGCAAAGCTTTATTTAGATCACCCAAAATAACATTTTATAGAAAAGGAACTATAACATTACACGGCAGAGTATGGCTGTAAAATCTCAAACAAGACAGGCAACGCTTTACTTAGAGCAACAAAAATAATGTCTCTGAGAAAGGGAACTGCTAAAAGCAATGCATAGTTGCAAGTTCTCCTTTGTCATCAATATCAATTCCCTCTAAAATACTTTCAGAGTACTTTGTGGCTTCCAAGCACAAACTAAGATCTGTTGAACAGAAAACAGTTTTCAAAACCATTTTGTTTAACATTAACAAATAATCAAACAACGTGCTTCTTGCTAACAACCAACCGCAATGGCTACCAGAACAATGTTTAACCTAAGTATCTGTTCATGAACGTTTCCCTACGAATACAGCTCTGGCTGTTTTTATCCTGCAAGCGCATACAGTTTGTGCAGCAGTGTTAATTTGGAACACGTTCAGACACCCAGGAGGTAATCATGACACCAAAAAAATCATTAATTAATTAATTAAATCAATTCCCCCTATAGGCATGTTCCACCATGATGAGGTCAGAAAATAATTCTTAACAGAAATAAACGTATGTGAGCAACTCAGAAGAACAGAGCCTGCTTCTGTCAGAGAACCCCCAGGGGAAGTCCACCATTTCATTCACGCTTCACCTGGAACCTAAAATATAAAGCCACATCGTACAGCTATTTTTCCCAAACCATGGAAACTTTAGTAAACTGCCCTGGGGTTCTTGGTGCTGTAGTGTGCCTCACAGGCAGCAACATATGCTGACTCCGGGAAGAAGTCATCATGGTATTCTGCTAAAAACCTAGAGAAAGAAAGAAGGCACTAATGAGCATCGTACTAAGAACTGAACACCCTGCAGCTCAGTATTCGCTTATAACCAGCTTTCGCATTTCAACTCCTGTGTGTACTAGGAAGGGAGGCTGCTTCTAGTCTTGATTCCATTTGATTACTTCCACAGCACTCACTGAACTGGTTTCTGTCAATCACTGTGCATCCAAATCTCTTCATCAGCAGTGTTACGGAAACAGAACCTGAACTTGATTAGGTGGCAGTCTGATTACATACATGAATCTGTGAAAAACAACCTCAATAAATACTTGCCTGTTTTTCAAACTCTAAAAATAATACATGACAAATCCAATAAATGTCCCTTAAGAAATTCACAGGGCTTATACACACTAAGTTGGCGGTAGGGCCTAGGTCCTGTCTCAGCAAGGTGCTGAGACAGATTTAGTTGACTTCCCAGGGGAGGCTTTACCCTCTCTGAGGAGCAGATGTGGGTGGGTAGGGGGAAGGTGGGGGAGTGGGAGAAAAGGAGGGAGGGGGAACTGGGATTAACATGTAAAAGAATAATTAAAATTGAAATAATTAACCTGGCATTAATAAAGACAAACAAAGGGGAAAAAGTTACATCCAAACTGAACAGAAAAGCCAACACCAGCACTTTACATATGAATTTGCCATCCCAAGAGGTTAGTTATAAGTCTGGATGAGAGCCCAACAATACGTCAAAACACTGGGATGTCTGTAGACGGCTGGTAAAGTGTGGCAAGTCACTCAAGAATCTGCAATACACTGATGATGGGCCCTCAAGTGAGTCATGCATGGTGCCTCAAGTCTGTATTCCAAGCATTTAGAACTAAGTTGTGACACTCCAGCTCCAAAAACAAAACAGCAACAAAATAAAGCAAACACACCCACGAGATAAGAAACAAAACAAATTCCAAGTGAACCGGCAGCTGTGCGGGAAGTACTCACTCTGCTATCTCACACCTGTCCGAATTCCTAAACTGTCACAGCTCTCTAAATAAGAAAGCACTGTCAAAAGTCATTTGCTAGCTAAGTGCTTTTCTCTCTGTTTGCACCTTCTTGAAGGCCACTGTTTAGTTCATTGATTTGAACTGTTGCCACTCTCTACTTCTTTAAAGAACAGTTTTATTTACTCTTTGACAACTTCATGCAACAGACCTTGATCATATCGAACCCCAATCTTCCCTCTCATACCTTGGGTACATTTGAAAAGCCTTTTCCTATGTTTATTTATAAAATCTTCTATGTTGTTCACTAAAGTCCTAACTTCTGCTTTATATGAGGAATACTGCAAAATCTGCACGCTTCCCTATACTAAACTGCAGTTTTAGCACTATCTGCTTTCAGTGCCCAAAGTTTATGGTAAAAAGGACTGTGGGTTACTCTGAAGGGACATTTGGGAGGGAAGAGAGTATTTTTAAAACTTGTTTTCACTAAAAGGTTGGAAAGTCTGATTATGTTCAAGGACGTGCTAGTCACAATCCCTACAGGAAAATCCCTTTTCAAACTTTAAGACTAATTTCTCTGGGCAGAGTACTCTCTACTCTTGAATATCTTAGACCAGTCAGAATGCAGCCCATTAGACAGAAAATGGCTCCCTTTAAGTTCTAGTAGCTAAGCTGAGCTGGGTGAGGCAAGGTGAAGGCCAGCTTTGAAGGCCAAGGTAAAGACCCAGCTAACAGACGTCTAGATGGAAGAGAGGGACAGTTCGAGAAAAATGGGCATAAGATCCACAGATGAAACATTCCATTCGATAAGAAAATGAATGGCTATATCAGGTGAAGAAAGCCACACCTTCTCTGAATTCAGAAACGTCAGTATATACTGAGTCATATTTAAGTTAGGAACACACAATTAACTTGGGTACACACAACAAAAAAAGGCCACTATTTATGGTACTCCTGAAGAGAAAATGTAAAATTAATGTCAATCTTAAGTACTTCTACATAGGAAAAGTCATTTTCTGCTTACAAGGTTAGCCTCCTGGATTCCTCTAGTGACATGATACATACCTCAGTATCCTTGCCTCAGAAACTGGAGAAATGAAGATTAAAAGAAACACAAAAGCAAGCAGCAAACAAACAAAGATCCTGCCCTACTTACCCTATCAGTCAGAACACACCCCTCCCCACAAAATGGAAAATACCACAAAGCTACTTTCCCTGCGTGCTAAAGTTAAGCCTAGAAAACTCGCGTTTGCTGGCAGAGGTAGGTGTGACAAGGTACTTAAAATACCTCAGAAAGAGATCAAAGTGCTTCAGTAGAGCCTTCAGATTCTTCTCCGAAAAGGACATCTTCCCAAGGATCTCTGGAAGTTTGACTGGATTAAAAACAAAAGCATTTGTAATCAGCAGAAGGTTACGATGGAAAGGACTCACCGTGGCTCATCATGTGAGTACTCGTTCCCCTTCGGGGACTGAATTCCCACCTGGAGAGTCAAACAGTGAGTCACTGAACAAGCCCAGAGTGGGAAGTCAAGTACTGTAAGTACAACTTTTATGAAATTTAAGGTACATCCAATGTCTTTTCTTTGAAGCAGAAACTGGGTATCCACATTAGTTCAATGCTTATAAGATGTCTACAATCTAGTGACCCTGGTTAAAAAAAAAGAGTCAAGAAATAAGAAGCTGCTAGTGCTGAGGGTATCATGAGGCCCCACTTCAGTCTGACCATCTATAAATCTGTAAGAGAATGGTTGCTAAGAGGAAGAGACATTTTCTCCAGTGGTGAAGCCACTGGTAAACTGCTCTTGTTTCCCTCCTCACCCATGCACTTATAAAGAACTATAATGAAACTAGTGAGGGGTCACACACACATACACACACGCCATGGAAATAGAAGGACAAGTAGTAGGGACTAGAGAGATAATGGGGGAAGTGACTATGATCAGCATCATTCTATAAACATATGAAAGGATCAGTGAAAGTCACTATCGTAGGTATTTAATAGATGCTAATAGAAATGAAAACTGGAACGAAGACAGAAAGAACAGGGGTTCTTACCAAATAATCGCAGCAAATGCTGTGCGCCATAAATGTATGAAGGGGGAGGTGGATGGTCTCCTGGCGGGTAATTGTCAGGCACAAGTTTCCAAGATAGGACCTACGAAAAACACCATGTGAATGCTTCCTTTATTCCAAATGGAGACACTTCTAGATACCTACATCTTCTCATAGTAAATCATATGGAGAGAATAAAACCATATTGCTACCCAATGAACATAAGAATATAAAAATAAATGTGAGGGCCAGAATAACTCAACATTAGACTAAGAAGATACTGGATTTTAAACTTGTCCACATGTACTACTTTCTGGAGAGACATTCCATAATGATGGAGAAGCCATACTGGCAGGATCAGGAGCCTAGCTGCTCACACTGCATTAAGTTAGGAAGCTGAGAGTGGGCCAGCAATCGGCCAGTCTATAAAGACTAAGGGCTCAGCCCTGTGAGCAGTCTATTCCTCCCAAAATCCGGCCAGTCTATAAGGACTAAGGGCTCAGCCCCGTGAGCAGTCTATTCCTCCCAAAATCCGGCCAGTCTATAAGGACTGAGGGCTCAGCCCCATGAGCAATCGATTCCTCCCAAAATCCGGCCAGTCTATAAAGACTGAGGGCTCAGCCCCGTGAGCAGTCTATTCCTCCCAAAATCCGGCAGTATATAAGGACTAAGGGCTCAGCCCCGTGAGCAGTCTATTCCTCCCAAAATCCAGCCAGTCTATAAAGACTAAGGGCTCAGCCCTGTGAGCAGTCTATTCCTCCCAAAATCTGGCCAGTCTATAAAGACTAAGGGCTCAGCCCCGTGAGCCATTCCTCCAGCAAGCTTGACTTCCTAGAGGCTCCACAGTCTCTCTGGACAGCATTACCAGCTGGGGAGCCAGTGTTCAAACACATGAGCCTCTGGGGGACATTTCCCGTGCATACCACCACAGTCACTTAGCCCCTTTTCCTTTATCAGGAAACACTAGCAAAAGTATCGGGAGTCCCTGGTGCCTTGCTATTTGCATCATTATGGAAACTAATTTGAATCATCTCAGAGTTCCAACTTGGTCATTGGTTTCCTTGTCTTTACTCTGATTTTCAGAACTATGGATGAACATGGGTCTTTGCTTAAAGTGAGAGCTGTCTTTCGGAACTCTGATGGATTTCCGCAGTACCTTCCTCAATCAGCAAACCAGCTTTTATTAAAGTGTGTGTCCAATCTATTAACATGGAAGAACCAATGGTGCAGGAAATCCTCTATGAAAAAAAGCTGAAGGGTGCCCACCCCCCAAGACATCAGAGATGCTGGCATAGTTGACCTGAAATAAACTACACATTCACAGTCCTGTGGGACTCCAGGATGACAGCCCCAGCTTCATTTCAGCTCCTTGGAGCCTTCATGTAAATTCCCTATCTCATCCTTGGCAGCCAGTACAAGCATCTTCACACCAACCAGAAATCTAACCCAGCTCCCACAGGGGAAGCTTAGAACTGCTTTGGCATTGAATGTGGACCAGAGGGCGCAGATAGGCATCTGCAATTAGTACAAGTTCTCAATGGGAATCACCTGTGCATCTTAACGAGCAATGTTTTCATCCAGACCCTTCCCAATCAGCGGCTAGTAATAGAAGAAAGGGTTATAATGGATTTGGATAAATAGTCTTGGTTAAAACCTACTGTGGAAGAAGTCCTAGAGGTCCTTAAAGTCACTATGGATTCTTTGGTCCCTAGAGCCTGCTGAATGCCACTGTTTACCACAAAGCGGCCTGTTCTACCATCAACCACTAGATGGCAGCACTCACCTATGTGGAAGTGGCCTTTGCTTTTTTTTTTTTTAGGGAAATAGAAGAGTAGCTGTGGGAGAGAGGGGGATGAAAGAAGGGACTGAGAAGAGTGGAGGAAGGGGTAACTGTGGGGTCTAGATTTAGTGTATGTGAGAAGAATCCAATTTAAAGAAAAAGAAATATAAATACCATTTCACTTAAAACAAAGCCTGTAGTGGCAAGGCTTCAAGTTGATGGGCTTAAAGTCCGGCCCAATGGCGACATTCAGCATGCTTTCAAAGGGATGGCTATTAAGGTTACTGTCCGTGGATGAGAATCAATGTCAAAAGTGAGTCAGAAACGACAGCTTGCTGCTCACATCTCATCCAACTGTCCATGTGGATTTCTATATTGCCCCAAACTATGTTTATGCTTTTTGTTGAGGGCTGAACTGCTCAACCGGGAGCCTCTTCCTGAGGTCTGATGTAAGTATGGAGAAGGAACAGTTCAGATTCTAAGAACCCAACTCTGCCCACCAAGGGGATTATGGTTATCAGTCTCAAGGTCGCCGTGTGCTTGGTCTGGAATGCTCTTAAGATAGCCTGTACTCCCTTTGTGCAACACTGTTTGCTTAGCTTCCCACTAAGTCCACTGGGTGAGTTTCGGCTGACTTTGTCCCATTGTATTTCTTAAAGCGCTTGTGTGGTAAAACACACAGCCTGTGAAAGAACTCCCGGTGGCAATCCTTATCTTCTCTTTGTCTATTCTCTTTATCTTCTGGATCTCCTGGTCCTCTCTGTAGGACCATAGCACCTAAGAACAACCTTTAAATGATTTAAAGCTAAAAGGCTATGTTTAGCTCTTGCATATCATATGCTGTTCACATTTCAGTGTCCGCGATAATGGTTTATTGATGCACGGTACATCTATCTCATTTACATATTGTTTGCGGCTACTATGCAGTTGATTAGTCTTCATAGGCATCACGTGACACACAGAACCTAAAATACATACTCTCAGACTCTTCAGAATAAAAGTATTAACGACTGATGTGTTATACAGAACACAGACACAAGTCTTTCAACAGCTAAACAATCTTTGTAGGAAAAAGTCATTCGACTTGTATAGCTGGAGTCCTGGCGGTTTTCTCAGATTTGAAACCAGAAACAGACTAATAAGCAGAATCCTCTGTATCCTTTTGCTCCTATTTCTTGTAAAGCAACATAATACTACAAGACTTAGGATTGTAAGCAACTACAATGGGTAAGAGAACTCTTGGAGCTGAACATCAAACACTCTACCTCATTTATTTCATTGGTTCTTCTCCCTTCGAAGCCAGCAAATACAGCACTCCCTTCCTTACTCAGAGTCAGAGGAATGGGGGAAGATGATCTGCTATGCACAGGTGTCTCTGCCAAAGAGAAAGTCACAATTATTTACCCATAAACTTACAGAGTGACCGAACTAGAGACACTCCTCGGGACCCCGAAAACCACTAGACTACCAATGTAAATAAGTTCTCAACAGCTACAAACCTTCACCAATATGGCCTTCATCTTTATAACAGATAGTACCTGGAATTTTAACATGGTACTGATACATGTTACAACATAAGTCAACCTTGCAAAGGTTAAGCTAAGCTGAAATGGGCACATCATAGAGCCACATATTGTGATTTCATTCATATGTAATATGTAAAATAGGCAAATCTGGGGATAGAAAGGAGATTTATAGTTCTACGAAGGCATGGGTGGGGTGACTGTTAATGGGTATGGGTTTTTGGGGGGAGAACTTCCCATGTTTTGGAACCAATTGAGAGAGGGCTGGACAACTCTGTTAATACATTAAAAGTCACTGGATTGGACACGTTAAATGGGAAAACTGGAGTGTGGATTATAGCTCAACAAATTAAAAAAGTAGGGCCACTAAATTAGTCACTTTAAAACGATTAACTTGGATGGGGGAGATGGCTCAGAGGTTAAGAGCATTGCCTGCTCTACCAAAGGTCCTGAATTCAATTCCCAGCAACCACATGGTGGCTCACAACCATCTGTAATGGGGTCTGGTACCCTCTTCTGGCCTGCAGGCATACACACAGACAGAATATTGTATACATAATAAATAAATATTTAAAACGATTAACTTGGATGGGGGAGATGGCTCCAAGGCTAACAGCACTGGAGTCTCTCCAATTGCCAGCAGCCACATGGCAATGGCAGCTCACAATTCTCTCTAACTCAGTTCCAGGGATTCTGACACATCATTGGTGCCTGAGGACACCAGGCACCCCCATGGTATGCAGACATAGATGCAGGCAAAACACCTATCCTCATAAAATAAAAATAAATCTTGAAAAATGTATATAGCTTTATGTGTGCTTTTGCCTAAATCAATAATGCCAAAAAAAAAACCTGGAGTAGGTTGGGAGGCAGGGAGATATAACTTCCTGTTTTAGAATTTCTTTTAAAAAAAGCATTTTATTTCCCAATAAAACCATCCCAGTTTTCACTCCATTAACTTATTAATCATGTACATACATTTTACATTATTAAATTTACATAAAATGTCTGAAATAAACAAATCTAAAGTGCTACCTAGATTGGTGCTTTCCAGGGGAGGTAAGGAAGGACACGTGAATGGCTGCAGATGCACAGAGGACGTCTTTTGTTCTGTGAGGAAAGCATCTGAGCTGATTTTGGCAATGGCTGCACCATTCTAATTATGCCAAAAAAACACCAGGAATGGTGAATTTTCCAGCATATGAAGTATATATCCACTACTCTGCTAAACCCAGATTTGGATACTTTCCTCAAGTTTTGGAAACAGGAAGAGAAATTAACAATCTACTAGCACCTTTCGCCCTGAGTATTTCAATATCTCCACCAGCTCACAAGTAGCAGAGAGGGAGTGTGGAAAGCAGCCGTAAACACGGAGTCCAGACCTGCTCCCCAATCCTCAGAGCTACCCAAGCCAGTTGCTTTTCCATCTTCCTATGGATGTTTTCCTCTTCTTCAAATGAAGTAGCCTTCTAGCATTTGGCTGAGGTCCTAGGAATAGCACACCCTTTATATACACTTAGGAAGGTTAAAGGCAAAGGAAACAGTGGCTTTCCCCAGCCTGGGGATCTTACAGCAAACTCACTCTTTTCCAAGTGCAGAAACAGTTTTGGCATGTTGGTAGATGTGTCCTGCTGCCGACGCTTGGGCTGAGGTGAGGAGCTACTCTCCGACAACCTGTCACAGTTAGTGCTATGGCGCGTGGACCGCCTTAGAGACTGCAGGGCTTCTGGATCAGCTTTGCGCCTCTTGGGAGTGACTGGGTCACCGCTAGTTGGTTGGCTCTCAGTGGACTGTGGTGTGGATGGGTTCAACAAAGGCGGGCTAGGAGACAGCTCCTCCTGGCTCCTGGGCAAGAAGGACAGAGTCACTGGCAGCCTCGAAAGTCTTCTGTAAGACCTTTGAAAGGCAGGTTCACAAAGCAGCCTGGGAGGGGCATATACCCCCAAGTATACTCAAACATCCATTTTCTTAAACAGTCCCTGAATAGATGAAGTCACTATACCTCTGCAAGGCAAGCTGTTATTAGAAATGAAAACACCACATCTATATGTTTTAGAACAAGCACTTTTGTGGGTGGGGGTTGGCCCTAGCCCAGAAAATAGTTACCAGTGTCTGGTGATATTATAAGGTTGACACAACTGTGGGAAGATATACTGTTGTCTAGTGGCTAGAGACCGGAGATACTGCTAAGTGTCCAACATCACACAAGATTGGCCCTAGGACAGAGAAATTCTGGTCTAGGGAATAAGACTATCACAAAATGTCTTCAAAATGTAAAACTTGCCAGGATGTGAAAACGGCATAAGCATATCAAAGTCGACCCCAGACTCTGGGAATCATCAGGTGTGAAGCAGGTCACTCATGACTTCAACATAGGTCCCCAGTGCATTTTGCTGGCCTCCTGCCTGAGGTGAAAGTGACATGGGGAAAAGAGGAGGGAGGGAGGGGGAGGGAGGGAGAGGGAGAGAGAGAGAGAGTCCACTGAAAAGAGATGGTAGAAAGGGAGGGAGGGAGTTAGGGAGAGGGGGGGAGGGAGGGAGAGAGAGAGAAAAGCCACCAAAAAGATGGTAGAGAGGCAGAGTGGAGAGAGAGAGAGAGAGAGAGAGAGAGAGAGAGAGAGAGAGAGAGAGAGAGAAAAGAAAGGCAGCTAATGTAGGGCACAGGAAATGAGAGTCAGCAAGATAGCTGTGGATGAGAGCAGATGCTGAGTGGTCAAACACAGAGGGATGCTACTCTTAGTGCTAGAGAACTCAGTCCTCTGAGCATGCTATGATCATTGCCATCGTGGAATCAGAGCAGCTATGATGACCCACATGAGATGCTCATAACTAATATTCCCTTGTGAAGGGTGGTAGGGCCCAGAAAGCACACAGAGGCCTCCCCTTTCTGAGGATACTTCAGCCGTTGACGCCTGCTGGGGAGAGGGAGGCTGGGGAGAGGGAGGCTGGGGAGAGGGGGGCTGGGGAGAGGGAGGCTGGAGGAGGCTGTAGTTCCTCAGTGCTGTAGTTACTTGTAAGTAGCACATGTTCCTAGAACTAGTCCTGGTTAAACTCATTCATTCACCAAGCTAGACTTGAGAACTGGTGTTTAGACTCTTGTACAACATTCAGGAAGAGAAGGGAAAGTGCATGGCAGAGTGCCTTAGACAGATTAAGGGAAAAGACTTTAGGTAAGGATGGATCCATCCTCACATCCCCTGCCAGAGAACAGGCTTAAGTACTCTTAGATACAGAAGGAAGAAAAGCAGAAATGAAAGAAAAGTAGGGAACTAACCTAAACTTAGGGCCAAAGGTTGTTGGCCCCTTGTGAACAATATCATGAACCAGGGAGACAGGCATTCATTCCATACTACAAATAGTAGGCAAGAGGCTCTATAAACACTGACCCAAATCACATAGCTAACAGCAATGAAGGATGTCAGTTGTACCTCCGCTTCCCACCCTTCTGGCCCATGTTGCCTTTACCCTCTTCACTGTCTTCTGGAAGACGGGACAGCTGCTCAGGATCCACTGACAAAGTTCTATCTACCCAGGAATCTTTTGTTTGTCCTGGTCTTGCTGAACTCCCCTCTAGAGACCATCTGTCCCCAGATTTATAGCAGTCCTCCTGCCTCACCGGCATGTGCCATTATGCTTGGCTACCCTGAAATGTTTCCCTGGGAAAATCTTACACACCCATTGAGAACAGGAGTGAGGATCTAGCTAACCCATAAATAAACAGAAAGCAAAAGTAAGAAGACCCTGTGGTTTCCCTTCCTCCATTCAGGCCCCCAATAGCAGCAGATCAAATACTGCAAAAAAAGAACTCAGTCACCCGAAGATGAAGGCACACTTCCATGTTGTCTAACTCACCTATTAGTTGTGGTGGTACTTTCCTTAATAGGAACAAAAAATTTAGATGATGTCACTCTTTTATATTGAGCTTGTTCATATGGATAGAGCAAAACCAATGGGAGAGTATAATCAAAGGTAATTCGTAATCCATCCACCATCTCCTTACAGAGGATTGAGAAAGAAAAGATTAGAGACTCTGTAAAGTCACGGGTATTTTCCAAACTTCACAATAAAAGTATATTTTTAAGAGAGCAGATTTATCTTTATTATTTATGTATTTACTCTGAGGCAGAGTCTTCACCATGTAGTCCTGGCTGGCATGGAACTCACTATGTAGACCAGGCTAGCCTCAATCTCACAAAGCTCTGCCTGACTCTACCTCTTGAGTGCTGGGATTAAAGATAGGTGCCATGCAGCTGAGGGCAGACTTTTAAAACCTTATATATTCACTTACATATAAAAAGAATAAATACAATCTATAGATGCTAATAATAAAAAAACATGGAAATATAGACCCTAATATAAAGTGCAGACACTATGATAATAACTTAAATGTATCCATATAACACAAATGAACAGGTTTATTACAACATAAGACATCCTGGCAGCCCAGTGCTCCTGGCTCCTGTTCAACTGTAATACTATACATCCCTAACACTGATCCTGCCAAGTCACAACGGTATAGTAGGATTTGAGGAACTCTACTCTGACTAGAATAAAGAATTATTTGGGGCTGAGGAGATGACTCAGTGGGTAAAAAGCGCTTGCTGTACAAGCCTGACAACCTGAGTCTGGATCCCCAACATCCACTTAACTAGATGCAGTAGTGTACAAATCTGTAATCCCAGAGTTCCTGCGGGGAAACCTCTGGCAATTCAGAGGCTACCCAGGGTGGTGGATCCAGCAGTGAACACTAGAGACTGTCCTAAGCAAGGCAGAAAGTGAGGACTTTACACCACGGGTTGTCCTCTCACCTTCAAATGGATGCCATAGCCCATATGCACTCAAACACATGCATACATAAATTCATTTTAAAAACTGATCTGATCAGTCATAAGCAGCCTTCTATCCAGTTCTCATTGCCATTCTGCATCCTCAAGTAGACAGTTCTTGTCCAAAGTGGTATCCCTGAAAATATTGGTCTTGGTGACAAGGAGATGCATAATCAAGCCAGGTCTCATGTGGAATTAGCAAACACTTCACAAAAATCACAATAGTTTCATGCACACTGACAACTGAATGAATAAGCAGCAAATCAGCTATGAAATAAGAGATGCATTCAATAAAACTGAACAAATAGAATGATCCCTTCTTCAAAACTGTAATATATAAAGAAAAAGCTGAGGGTATAGCTTAACCCTCATGCATGCTAGGCTAATGCTAGTTAAATTCAATCCCTGTACCACAAACACACACACACACACACACTCACACACTCCAAAACTAAACAAGAAACCTAACAATAACAACAACAAAACCAAAGACAGAATCCAAAGACCCCCCCATCACTCACTTCTTTTCTGCTGGGACATAGTGCACATTCATATGTGAATGCATCATGGCATGATGGTGACGAGGCCTCTCACTGGCTGAAAAGGCTGCATTAATAGCAAAATGCTTCACATAGGATTCCAAAATTGTTATGACGTTGGTCTGGCATGGAAGTTTCACTAACTGTTAAGAAAAATATAAACATCTAATACACACATCCCATTATAATCAAACATATATTACAAGTAGGAATAGCAATGGCTCTATCAGTTTAACTTTGTGAATTCTGCGTACGAACTTCTCAATTAAATATGTCTAGAAGCTCTTTAATATTCCTTCCATCCACTGATCATACTCATATATTACTATTGTCTTATTGTCTTGAATACACAGATGTGGTGATTCTCAGGCTTAGCATTGTATTAAGAAATTTGGGGAAATCTCTCCAAGTATTACCAAGAGATGTGCCCCTACCCTAGCAATTAAATCCTAATCAATCTTATCAGCTCTCTTTTTGAGACAGGGTGTACTAAATAGTTCAGGCTTTCCTGAAACTCTCTAGGTAGATTAGGCTGGCCTTGAACTCACAGTAATCTCTACCTCCCTCTGCCTTCTGCATGCTGGGATTAAAGGTGTATGCCATCACTCCTGGCTTAAATCTTAATCTCAGATGAAGCCCAGGTATCAGAATTCTGAAAAGCTCCCTGAGGGGCTCAAATGAACAGTATAAGGTATCCAAGTCTTAAGTTATGCAAGAACCCAGCACCACTGTTAGTCAATCTTATAACTAGACTGCTGTGGAATATTAGTTTAAGATGAGTTACATTTGTTTATGCTGTAGAACATTTGTTTAATGATGCAAAGCTGTGCTGCATCCTTTTATGCTGCATTTGTTTAACTCTGTGAAGCTGTGTTACTTTGGCTGCCTAAAACACCTGACTGCTCTAATAAGGAGCTGACCGGTCAACAGCAAGGCAGGAGAAAGGATAGGCAGAACTGGCAAGCAGAGAGAATAAACTGGAAGAGAAATCTGTGAGGAGAGATGTAGGAGAAAGAGAAGTGGAGGACTTCAGGGGCCAGCCACCCAGCTCTACAACAACCCATGGAGTAAGAAGAAGAATGATATGCAGAAATAGAGAAAGGTAAAAGCCCAGAGACAAAAGGCAGATGGGATAATTTAAGAAAAGCTGCCAAGATACAAGCTGATGGAGGAAGGTCATTGGCTAATAAAGGCACTGCCCTGGCCCATTTTATTGGTTAGAGGATAGGTGGGAGGAGTAAACAGAACAAAATGCTGGGAGGAAGAGGAAGTGAGCTCGGAGACTCGACCGCTTTCCTCGCGGGAGCAGACGCCTGAGAGAGACGCCATGCCCTGCTCCCGGGATGAAGCTCGGACCCAGGATGGACTAGGCTAGAATCTCCCCGGTAAGCGCACCTTGGGGTGCTACACACAGATGATTAGGAATGGGCTAAATTAATATGTGAGAATTAGCCTAGAAGAGAATGGGCCAAGCAGTGATTGAAAGAATACAGTTTGTGTGTTGTTATTTCGGAGCATAAGCTAGCCATGTGGGCGGCCGGGTGTGGGGGACGCAGCCCTGCCGCCCCATATTACTACAGTTGGCGCCCAGACATGTGGACAGCCGAAACCCACTTAAAAAACCTGAGAAGGCTTAAAAATAAGGGAGAGAGAGTTTAACACAGATTTTTGCTGTTTGTTGGTGTCGTGCTGTAGAGAGATTTCCTGATTCAGCAACAGTAGCAGAAAAACCACTTTGTCATTTTAAATCGCAACTTCCTGGGGCTGTGCCGCCATTGCGATCTCTGTCTGGCTCCTGCGGGAGACAGAGCTTTTGAATAGAGCATATGGAGTAAAGTGCTACAATTAGTTTGATGGCAACTAGACTCGCTGTGTTCTCGGGTCTGCTCTGCTTGCCAGAGGCAAGCAAGCACCTCATCTAAGAGAGGCTTCCTGACTCAGCTTTAGCTGCAAAGCCTGCAGCTCATTAAGAGGTCCTGCCACGAAATACTTAACGGTGTTGACGAAAAGCTGAACGCATGCTTTTCGGTTTTCAGCCGTAGCAGGAAAAAAGCTGCGCCGTTTAAAAATGCTGGCTTTCTGGGCCATCCTGCCAGGGCAAACTCTGACTGTTTGAGGCAGGAGGGCCGGCTACCAAGAGAGGACATGAGTGTTGTCTGTTGTAGCTCACTTGCTGGCAGGGACCTTGAAATGCCATACAGTTGTTGCAGTAAACATGGCTACAGCCTGTATATCCGCCATGAGGCTGGAAAGCTAAGGAATGGACTGGATCTAGCTGGCAAAGCCACGCCTTTAATCCTACCCATATTGCTCAGTAATTTAAAGGCTTGTGTGGTCAGAAAAAGAGAGATATATAGTAAAGAGAGATTCAAAGACAAAGAAAATTTCTAAATGGTTTGAAGTGTGTTAAAAATATATGCAGACTAAAATTTAAAGTTCTTAAAGTAACAAAAAAAAAAGGAAGAAAGTTGTGTGTGTGGTAGCACACGCCTTTAATCCCAGTGCCTAGAAGGCAGAGACAAACAGATCTCTGTGAGTTCAAGGTGTAGTAGTGTACACCTTTAATCCCAAATGCCTGGGAGGCAGAGACAGGCGGATCTCTGAGAGTTCAAAGACAGCCTGGTTTACAGAGTTACTTCAGGTCAAAGATACAGAGAACCTGTCTCAAAAAGCAAAGAGTTAAAAGTAAAAATAAACAAAATAGAGGTTAAAACAAAGCTGCACAAAGATGGAAAATACACAGAGAATCTTGATACTGTATGCTATTATGCTCTCTTTGAATTGTTTGAATGCTGAGGAAGAAGCAACAGCTGCTAAAAGATATTTATTGATAAATGCTGCTGAACTAATCCGACATAGATATTTTGATGCCTTAACTTTCAAATTTGGATCTAAGGACATGATGCTTTGGAAAGGAGTTTCTTATTTTGTTTTCACAGAGGATGAGACCCTGTTCATTTCTTCTATTCTGATTTGGTATGATGGACCACGCCCTCCTGAAGGGTTGGTGTGAACGCCTTCAGAAAATTGCTTCGCTCAACTGCCAACTGAGATGAAACTAGCACACAGGTTATACCATGAAAGACCTAATTAACGACGCCCCCATTCAGCAGGAAGCAGTTTGGAGAGAAATAACTGCGCCCATATTCCCAAAAAATGTTTATAAATGTTCTTTTACATTTAAAGGAAGATATGATATAGGTATGAATAATTTGCATTAGTATAGATTTTGCTTTATTGATAGAGATTTAAGGTCAATTTTGTTATATGTATAAGTGTTTCTGATTTTGATTAAGGTATTGTGATTGTGTAGTTCATTTAAATATGTACTGTATAATTAGGAAATATAGGTTGTTAATGGATAATCATCGATAATAGTAAAGCTTGTAGTCATGTTAGTTAGATTTTCTAGATATATAGAGATATATTTTAGATAGGCATTCTTCATATTTTTCAAAGATTATAGAATATGGCGTTTTAAATGTTTTAATAACTGAGGACTTTTCATGACAATGAGACACTCTGCTCCTGGCAGCACCAATCTACTTCAAGAGGAAGATGGGCATCGAAGAGGCTCATTATGGAGTTTTGATAGCCATTTGGGCAAGAAACTGCTCTTGCCCGGACTATTGCATAAACTGGACACAGAGAACCCGCAGAGAGAGGACTACTGAACTTGCCTAAGGTGAGATGATCTTTCGGGGTTCCTGATTCATGAAAGAGTCTGCGAGACATTCTGCAGGACACAACAGATAGTGACTGAACTGACTTTGAATTTTCCTGCTTTATGGAAATGTCTGCTGGATACCATGGGCCTGAAGGCTGAAGATGGATGCCCCAACGGTACAGAGGAACTTTGGGTGACTGTCCAGGCAGCGAGATGTCTCTGTCATTTCTAGAGTTTTAAAAGTTTCTTAGTTCTTGTTTACTTAGGTAATATTATATCTTTCTGGAGTCTTTGATGGAGTTAAGAATAGTTAGTTATAGTTATAGTTTTCCTTAGTTATGATAAAGATTATTGTAACTTTTACTTGATAACTGTTTTGTTATATGTAATTTTGCTATGTTAAATCCTTTTTTTTTTGTTTAAACCAAAAAAGGGGAAATGATGGAGGAAGGTCATTGGCTAATAAAGGCACTGCCCTGGCCCATTTTATTGGTTAGAGGATAGGTGGGAGGAGTAAACAGAACAAAATGCTGGGAGGAAGAGGAAGTGAGCTCGGAGACTCGACCGCTTTCCTCGCGGGAGCAGACGCCTGAGAGAGACGCCATGCCCTGCTCCCGGGATGAAGCTCGGACCCAGGATGGACTAGGCTAGAATCTCCCCGGTAAGCGCACCTTGGGGTGCTACACACAGATGATTAGGAATGGGCTAAATTAATATGTGAGAATTAGCCTAGAAGAGAATGGGCCAAGCAGTGATTAAAAGAATACAGTTTGTGTGTTGTTATTTCGGAGCATAAGCTAGCCATGTGGGCGGCCGGGTGTGGGGGACGCAGCCCTGCCGCCCCATATTACTACAACAAGCCAAGCTAAGGCCAGGCATTTATAAGAAAGAAAAAGCCTCTCTATGTGTGTTTATTTCAGAGCTGAGTGGCAGGCTCCCAGAAGAGTCAAAGAGCTAACAGAAAAACCATCACCAACACTGGACTGAGTAGAAAACTGGACATGAAACTACAGTCTTTCCATACGGCCTGGTGTTTGACACTGGGACTACAGAATACAGTCAAGTAGAAGCATCCCAAAGAATCCATTCCTCCAGCATACCCGTTTCCTCCTGTTGATATAGTAACAGTCATCCTCAAGCTGCTTCTTGAGAACTTCAGGGATATCTATGGTTATTGTTCTTTCATCCATGTCTTTTCTTGAGCGCAGCGACAATACTTTTTTTTTCTGCAATATCACAGTTCTATTTTTAGTTAATGTGAACAGTGGGAGAGGTCACCACAGAAAAGTCTGCTATGCAACAAAGCTAGTTACATCACAATAGTCACATCATGCCACATGTCCTCTATGAAAGGACAAGACATAAAGATACTATGCCACATTTTCAAGTGTTTTTCACAGCGTTAACTACATTACAAGTTCACTTTTGTTTCTTCCTCATGTATGATTATCATTGGGGTTTATGTCCAATTTGGAAGCAAGCAAAAGCCAATCTCTGTTATGCACCATTAAAAATGAATCATTATAAAATGCAGTTCACAATCTTACTTTAAAAAGATGTACGCTTTGTGGAAACACTCCGTGGGTATAAAAAGTAAATGATGCTCACACAGTGACTATAAACACACTGTCTTTTCTTAAAATGTCCAATAAATTCATACTATTGGTCTGAGAGGTATGTCTTTTGGAAAGAACTCCTAACCTGAGAATTTTGCCACTACCATAAACATCAAAGTTTCTACAATACAAACTTTTTAGTACCGCTTTAGTCTTTACTTTAATACGCCGCTGGCGATGTTCTTTCAGTTCTTCATTCTTTCTGCCACAGCTGTCCTGACAGGTACTGCTTATTGCTACATAAAACAAAAACATCAGACAAACTCATATTATATTCTTTGACAATTCCTTACATTTGCACATTTTTAGGTGGCGCATGCACTTGACTAAGAAGAACCATCTGTAGTTCTGCATACATTTTAAATCCTAAACACAAATACTGTACCTTTTGGAACAGAAACTTATTTTGATAAATATAACTCCAATTTCAATGGATACAAAAATCACACGAGCTAATGATCTGAAAGGGTTTCACCAGCTAGGATCCTATGGTTCACTGTTGGAGTCATAAGTGGTGGCAAGGCCCTGGAGGTATCAAGAAGAAAATGGACTGTGAGAAAGGATCTGTGCGGGCTCGCAGGCTGAGATGAAGGTGCTCACTGCTGAGACTCTGAGAGAGTCTTATACCGACATGCTGACTGATCAGATTGACTGCCTCTGTAATTAACCTAAAATAAACCAAGCGCATAGTACAAAGCTGCTCCTTCACTTACGATAGAGTCACACCTAAATTGATGAAAATACAGGCAGCGTACTGAATATCACAGCTGACTACTCTTAAGGAACTCAGAACACATATATTAACCAACAATTGGGCAAACTCATAGAAACAACGCTTACCTTATGGCAGTGTTAAATATCTCATGCATTTTATTGTATATTGTACTGAAATTGGAACACGAAAATAGTATATTTTCATACCACCATAAAGTCAACAAAATCTTAAAACTGGAGAACATCTGTATGTTATGAGTTTGCACTATTTCCCTGTCTATAATTTCAATGACTCTTTCTCTCAATCTTGAGGTCTAAAAAGATTACATGAAAATGGTTTTAGTTGAGGAAAATAAAGGCACTCACAGTTTTCGTCATTTTGAGGTTTTTCTTTAATCGGCACACTTTTTAAGACAGAGTCAACACCAGGTAACCTACAGCGTCTCTTCTTTTTTCCTGTACCTCTCCTGAAAACAATAAACACAATTAAAATAAACTTTCAGTCTCGTATAGGAGTTGGAATCCACAGAGGACATGATAAATAATCATTCTTAAATCAAATTTTAAAACATAATGGTAATACTCACTACCAAATGGATACGACTCATTATGGAAAACATCTATGAGTCCTGTATAATACTATAGAAACTCATTTACTTTAAATATGTAAGATGACTGAAATCTGTCACTTTATTACTTTTATATCATAAAATCCAAAACAGTTTTTAATAAAAACATACTGAATAACACTTCCATCAAAGTTTTTGTATCCTTACAGGCGAGCTATTGCTTTTTTGGCCAATTTACGCTGTAACCTCCGATTTTCATCTGTATCATGAAGCACATGGTCTTCGGCTGCCCATCTATTCCAACTAGTTGGAAAAAGGAAGAGGATGTAAAAGTCAGTATTTTGAATCAAATGAAACGAATCCTGAAAAGCATCACAAACAAGTGCCCCGTAGTTGCTGACATTTTAGAAAGCTATATGAAGACTTCCAAATCACCAGGAGGGCATCAAAGAAGCACAAAACGAACTCAGTTCCGGTCACCAGGGATTCCACAGATTACCCACAGGTAATCCAAACATAGCTGATTTAAAGTAAGCATGCCTCAGAATATGAAAGCTTTCCGAACAAAGCAGAAGCAGGAAATTAAACTTTTTTACAAGTGTTTCTAAATCTTAAAGTTACAAAATTAGTATGCTACAAAGGCAATTAATATTTAGTCTGATTGTAGCAAGTTCACTCACCTACTGTTCCAACCATTTAAATGTATCAGATATTCTGGAATCTTTCTGCCTTTTTCGTCTTTCCCGACAATAACATCGACGATCTGAAACCAGGAAATAACTGCTCACGAGTGGCACAATAAACCAATAATTATGTTAAAATTATAAGTTTTTTTTTAAAAAAAACCTAGATCACAGTCCCTTTTTAAAGGAAAAGAATTTGTTCCCTTTTTAGATCGAGAGCAGGGTTGTAACATTCTTCAACATATATTTTTTTCTTTTGCCTGAGTGGTTGCCTCAAAATAGGAAACATCCGTCCAACCAACCCACGATTGGTCTCTTGAGTTTGAGACCGGGTGAAGCTTTCTGAAGCCATTGGTCGGTAGATTTGTCATTACCTAGGACCCAGACTAGAAATAGCAGCCCTGAGACCTCTGGGAGTTGTAGTCACCCTGGCCTTGCCTTGTCCGGTGTCCAGTCAAACTAGCCAGAGACTTCCACAACTCTCCCCTTCCGTCCCCCTCCCCTTAATAGCCTTGCATCTCCGGAGGGAACTTCTGGAACAAATCAAACAGCGTGTCCTTCCCTCCCCTAGCGACGCAGCAAGCTTGAGGGATGGCAAAAGAATTTAAACAGTGATAAGAGTTGCAGGAGACACCAAAGGGACATAATCCAGCCCAGACTTTGGGGTGGCCCACAGGACAGCACCACTTAAACATCGCTAAAGACGCACCTGGGGCTGTTCCAAGTTGTCTCCGCCACCAAGGACTTCGCCTTGGTGGATGGAAACACTAACACTCGCCCCGACCCCCAGCGCGCTGATTTTCACCCTCTTGGGCACCGGAGCACTTAGGTGCCCACTCCTGCCCTCCACTTAAAAACTGACAATTGCAAGATACAGTTCAGCCCCGGCTGACTGAGCTGGATAAAGGCAATGCTAAGTTCTTTCCTAGCCCTGTCGGTCTCCTACAAATCCTTTAGAAATTGCGAATGTCAAAGCGATTGAGCAACCCCGAGCCCCTTCCTGCCACCCCTCCCCCAGGGTGGTAGTTCACTGCCTGTGATCTTAAACTGGACTCGGGTCCCGGGACCATGACACCGCCTCCTGACAGCTGCCAAGAAACTGAGGCCAGGGTTGAGGGGTTGAGGACGTGGGTGGGTCAATTGGTCAGGGTGTCCTCTAGGGAGCCCACACGGCGCTGAACCGCAGCGGACATGGACTTATCGCAAAAGCAGAGGCCTCAGGCGACAGTCCTCCTACACCGGGCGCCGGAATTGGCACCCAGCGATCAAAGTACCATCCCGGCCTAGCAACCGCTAAGTGACGCAACACGACCAGAAGCGGAAGTAGAAACAGAAGGGTCGCGGATCCTTCCAAGTTTAGGGTAGTTGAGTGCATTAACCGTCTCGTCAGCGTCCCCTGCCATCCCGGGCCGCTCTCCGGGGCCAAGGCGCACCCTGGTGGCTGTCCAGTGCTCCAAGCCACTTGTCCTCCGCTGGCCCCTTTGCCCCCCATCCCCGGGGCCCAGACCCGTGCCTCCTCCCTGTCCCCCCCGCGGCGGCACCTTGGCATCGTACAGCACTCGCGCCTTGGTGGGGTCAGGCTCGAAGCACAGCACTTTCTCCCCAGAGTGGAATTGAAATTTCATGCCCTCGCTCGCGCTCATTTGCTCATCGTGGCGGAGGGCGAGGCTCCGGGGCGGGTGGAGTGTGCCTGGTAAGGGAGGACGACCTGGAAGGCGGCGCTCCGCCACCGGGGGAGGGGGGGGGGGGCCAGAGTGGCGGAGGCTATGACCGCCCCGCCCTCGGCCCCTCCTCCGGCCACCCCGCGCCGCTGAGGGGACCTGGGCCATGGCGTTGGAGGCGCATGTCCCCATCCCCGCCAGGGGTCGTCCCCGCCCTCTCCCTCTGGGGCTCCGGGAGGGGTGCGGGCGGGGACCAAGACCCCGCGACCGAGGTCTTCCTGCAGAACGTCCCCTCTTGTTCCCATGGGCTAGGGTCCCCGCGGCTTCCAGGCTGCGCCCACACGTGCGCGGGGCCGTCACCTCCGGCGCGTGCTCTCCGGCCAGAGCGTGGGGGTCTCTTAGGGAGACGGCGGCTCTGGGGTAGTCACCAGGCTCCGGGGATTGTGGGTGGCGTCTGCCCCCAGGAGCCTCCTGGCCGCGCGCGCGCATCAGCCCTCTCAGCGGTGCTGCGCGCCAACGAGTGTGGCCACGCGAGAAGGACGCGGTGTTGGAGCTGGCCGGAGTCGGGCAATGGCCTTGGGCGAGGGGAGGAGACATTCCGGCCAGTGAATAGAACACTCTGTCATCCTTCGGAAAGGACCAGCAGGTAGCAGGCCTGGAGGCCCCAAGTGAGCAGTGGGCAGCAAGGCAGATGGGTCTTTAAAGGGTCGTTAACATCTTATATGTCAGTTTCCAGCGCTCCTGAATTGCTCCCTCGCGATCTGTCTTCAGTGGCTCAAAACCTGTAGAGTGGAAGCCTCATTGAGCCCGTTGTTAACAGGGTACCTGCCCAGAGGTGGAGTTCAGTAAATGCTCCGTGAATCAGTGATCAGGGGATGGGAGACTTGCAGCGTAGACCTTCAGCGACAGGGAGGGCGGAGCTGGCTGGTTTCTTCTAGAGTGCAAAGCCCCTGAGCTGTGGAGTTACTGGATGAAGACCTGGCTAGAGAGCAGAGCCCAGCGGCAGGGAGGTTAATGCCTGCAGTTTTAGTGAACTGCCTGGTTTCCCACACTATTCTGCTCTTGCCTCTTGCTTCCTGAAATTTTCACTCGCCTCCCCTCCCCCCTCCTGCGCCACTCCTCCCCTCTCTTGGTACATGGCACACATCTTTCACATCGCCACTTGGGCACTTCCAAGAGAACCCCTTGTCGTAGCCACACGTTGGGGTGACATGAATTACAATTACGTACCCCCAGTATCCCCTCCCAGCCCTCTACTTACCTGTTTCTTGCATTGACTGCTCTGGCTGATGAATGGGTTCTCTTCATTTGCAAAATGCCCCCATTAAGATGGGAAGCTGCTGGAAGCTGGAGGTTGGGGGTGTCTCATCCAGTCCATCATTGTGTACTCCTGGTACACAATAAATATTTAATGAATGAATGAACAGGTTGCAGATTTATGAAATCGAATCCATAAAACTCAGTTGCCAATTGGATATGAAGGAGGGGAGGAAGGGAGGGAGGAATCTTGGGAGACCTCCAGGTTTTGTAGCTTAAGAAGCTGGGTGAGTGATGGCTGCACTGGCCAGATAGGAAGAGGAGGGACAGGTTTGGGGAAAATGGCCAAATGATGACTTGTATCTAAGATAATATCGTCGGTAAGCCAGAACTGGAGCCTTGATTCTCCAGGGATGTGGGCAGTAGATGCTCAGAGTGTTCTCTGCAAATTGCAGGGCCAGCGCTGAAGCACAGGTAATTGCTTGTCACGTGTAAACCATAGCTGAAGTCTTTTGGTTTTTCTTGTTCAGGAACGGAAAGTTCCGTTCCATGCTCTAACCTTTGGGGGGAAGTGAATTCTTCTGTTTCTATTCATTTCTATCTTAGGTCACTGGTCTCTTTCTCTGCCCTTTTCTATAAAATGCAAGAATGACATATCTATATATCACATATGTCTGATTTTCTCTCTCTCTCTCTCTCTCTCTCTCTCTCTCTCTCTCTGTGTGTGTGTGTGTGTGTGTGTGTGTCTAATTGTTAGAATGGTAACAGTCTTGCCCCCCCCTTTTTTGGGTTAGGATCCACTGGAAAGGTTTCCATCTCTTACCCAAATGACCCACCCTTTGCCCTCATGGGTGAAAAAGACGAAGAACTCACTAAAGTCTGTAATTTAGTCTCTGTGAGGCCCAGTCCTATGATTATCACTTTCTGGTATGTGACCTTGGACAAGTAATTAGTCTCTGTGAGATGGTTTTGTTATACTAAAGAAAAAAATTGGCTTTAAAAAAGAGTGGCTCCTACTTTAGAAGGAGTAGGTAAAGCATTCAGTTTGTATGGCTTTATTTAGTACCTGGCATATAAATGCTGGGTAAATGCTTAATGTTAGGCATTTCCTATTAGCTCACCTGGTCTCTCATTTGTTCATGTAATAAATATTGAGCCTCCTGGGTGCTTAGAGGCTAGAAACATCAGCCATAGTATATACATCACTCCTAGCTTCTAGGATGGCAAAGCACTAAGCAAGCAAGTTGGAGCCTTCTGACTACCGTGATAAAGCTAGCGTGGAAGAGTGGTGGCGCATGTCCTTATTTTTACCTAGGAAGTTGGTACTGTCACAATAATCTTGGAAACTAAAATGTGTCAAAGTACTTCCAACATGACAATGTTGGGTCCCAGCCCTATTCTTATCAGTTACATTTTTGTTTTGTTTTGTGACGGAGTCTGCTGTATTGCCCAGGCTGGTCTGGAACTCTTGAGTTCAAACAGAGCCTCTTGCTTCAATCTTCCCAGTTCCTGTGGCTGCAAACCCTGTTCTGCACCCTCAGCGTCAAAGCCTTGGCGTCAAAGCCTCGTTTTTGTTCCCGTGTTTGCTCTACTCCAGCACAGAATGGACCCCCCACAAGGGTAGCGGGCAGCAGCAAAACTTAATTAGGCTGATACAGTAGCATTCACTTCGGGGATACATTTGAAACAGCAGGGGAATATTGGAGACACACTGTTGCCAGGCATTGTAATTTTCTTTCCAAGGCTTCCAGGTGACGTCAAGACACAGGCAGGGCTGAGAAATATAGATCTAAACTAATCCCGCAATCCTTTTTTTCTCTTGCAGAAAGCTAGACGTGACCATGTGATCCACTCTTGGCCAATAGGAAGTTTTTGTAGAGCCAGAGCTAGTTAACGAGAATATTTCTGGAAAAGGACCACCTATAGGCTAGGTGAAACACTTTGACACAGTTTGAAGTAACCCCTTCCTCGCTGGGCACTGTTTATTCTGTGTAGGTACGTGGGTAAATACCACAGTCATCTTAATAAGAGGGAGTTTGTCACTGTTACTGATGCTCTGAGTATGAGATAGCCCATAGATTTGCTGTCCTGTGTCATTAATGTGTTGTTAAACTTAGATTCCCCGAAATAACAAGACTTCTTGCTGTGTAGCATAATATACCCCAGAGCAGCTAAAAACATCCTGAGCACATCTCTTGTGCAGGTTTAAAGTTAACAGTCTTTACATCTAGCGTATCTGTGCAGCCAATTATGGTAATGTGAGGGAGGCCTTCAGTAATAAGCATGTGCTTTTCCGTGGCTGTGCAGACAAAACTGATGGAGTGGAATAGAGGAAAACTAATGACCCATTTACGGTGTGTGTTCAGTCAGAATGTGTGTTTTATTCTGGAAACAAGCTCCAAGGGCCCAAGGATCTAACTCAGATGGTAAAATGCTTATACAGTCTATGGGAAACTCTGTTTTTACCTCAGCATGGTTTAAATCGGGTACGGGGGGGGGGGCTCACCCAAGTAAGCCCAACATTTGGGAGGTAGAACAGGAAGATCAGGAGTTCAGCATCATCCCTAAATATATAGCAAGTTAGAGGTCAGTCTGGAATACATGACATGGGCTGTGGCAGAGGGAGTGGGGGGCAGGGGACACCCAAAAAGGAATCCTAGACCGATCCATTTATAAAACTAAGAATCATAGAAAAAGGAACCTCAACTGAGAATGAGACTTCAATGAGACACCCCCACCCTGATTACCCCCCCACACACACACTCCTACCCCACCCTGGTCTCACGTAGGCCAAGCTGACTTGGCAAGAATGATCGCCTCTATTCGGTCTGGACTGTGGCTATGTCTGTGGGGGCACTGCCTTGATTAATGATTGATGTAAGAAGGCCCAGTGAGCAGTGTTATCCATGGGCAAGAGGGCCTAGGCTGTATCAGAAAGGTAGCTGAGCAAGCCAGTATAACAACATTCCTTCATGGGCTCTGCTTCAGTTTTTTGTCCTGAGTTCCTGCCTTAGCTTCCCCAGATGATGAACTATATAAACTGTAAGCCAAAAAAACTCCTTGCTTCTCAAGTTGCTTTTGGCCATGGTGTTTATCGCAGCAAAAGGAAAAGTATATAAGACAAAATCAGTACCAGCAATGTGCAGCGCTGAACCTGACCATGTTGGCTTTGCGAGGGATTGTGGAAGGATTTTGAAGCTTTGTTGCTCAAAAAGGCTTTTGAATACTGAGGACTTCACGATCTTGGAAGATAGAGATGTTGAGGAGAGGTTCAGACAACTGGAGACTTGGCTTGTGAAGTTTCAAAGGGAAGCAAACTCCATCAGAGCCATTTGTGTGGTATCTTGGGTTAAGAATCTGTAGAAGTAAAACCTTCTGGAACATTTTTTTTTTCTGGAACAATTGAAGCTAGTTATCAGGGACTGGAAAATCAGCTGTGATTAACAATAGACAGCCTCATTCAGCACTCACAGGGCCTGTCCGCGTTCAACCTAGACGAGGCCCCAGCACCGAGAGGAGGTAGTAGACACTGCTCCCCCCCTCAACGAAGAAGCTATCTGCAGTTGACACCTCTTGCAAAAGAAAATGAGTTTTCTTCACTAGTGTCTAATTATACTTAAGGGTAGACTTCATGCCCATCAGTTGAGGACCAACACCAAACAAACTCAGTGTTATTTTAGTAGACTTTTTGGTCTCATATTGCTTTGTTTAGGGATTTTTTTTTGGGGGGGGTGTTCTTTGTCTTTTGCTTGTATATTATGGTTTTCATTGTGTGTGTTTTTTCTTCATCTTTGAAAAAAAAGAATCCTTGTTTAATTTTTTTTAATTTGGCTATTTGTTTTGTAAAGAGAGAGAGAGAAATAAAGGGGTTGGAGTTGGGTTGGTAGGGAGGATATGGGAGGAACTGGGGAAGAAGAAAATGACCAGAATTTATTGAATAAAATTTTTTTTAACAAAAACCATTTTTGACAAAGGGGAGCAGGACTCATTGTGGCAAAATCTTTTACAGCCAGCACACAGAAGCTGGGGTGCCAGGCAGCATCTCAAACTGGTAGCCAAACTTAGTAATGTGTCAGAGTCCCACATGGCACTGTTTGTAATGGCATGCAGGCAGCAGGATTGAAGGAAACCTAGACAGCAGCTAAGGCCTGCTGCTGTGAGAATCCAGGAAAGGTTTTTGGGGAGCACATTGGAGAAGGAGCACCAGTTAAGGAATTGCCTCCTTCAGTCTGGTCTGTGGGGGCTATTTTCCTGATTAATAATTGTTCTGGTTTGGTTTTTGTTAACTTGACACAAATCTGGAGTCATTTGGAAAGAGGGCCCATCAATTGAGAAAAATGCCACTACCTGATCACCCTATGAGCAAGCCTGTGGGGTGTTTTCTTTATT